CAAATGCTGAAATGCTTATATAAATGTAAAATTTAATAATAAATGTTAGACGGATATACGTATAATAATTATTAAATAATTAATAAACCGTGAATAAAACGTCTAAAGCTAGTAAAAATAATTTAACACGAGCTACACGGCGCAGCGGCACGGCAATTACTGTCGTGAACCCAGGTTCAAAAGCGTCTATGATACGCAGCTTATTCTCCCCGGCTCCCTCCGACCAACTAGCCATGTCATTACATGTTACGTTTGCAACTGACGGGCTTCAGTTTCATTGAACTGGTGACCGTCGTAATGAGCCGAATTACCCGCAGAATGACTAAAATAGTATTTCTATCGAAATAGCTATTAATAGGTTTTCGATTTTGTGACTTTCAATTTAATATAATAATAAACAATGAAAACGATATAATAATATATTTTAAATACAAATGAAAATATTTCTATACATTATTATTTTTAATTAATTATATTATTTACAAGTAGCTAGTTTATTTTTAAGGGGAGACGCAGTCTCAAATTGTCCCCTGACGAGCCGCCCCTGGTAATAGGTAAAGTATCTAAAAGTTGAAATTAAGTACAAACCAAAATATATATTTTCTATGCCGTTCTCGCGCCGATCTTGTTCTCAATATATTTTGTCGTAGACGTTCATCACGCTGTTCTCGAGACTCTTGTCTGCGAATTTCTGCTGTTCTGATTTGTTGAGCTGCGTTTCTTGCTGCAATTTGTTATTCCGATTCATGAGCTCTATTAGCACGCATACGTCGTGCATTTTTACTATACTGATTGTGTAGGTTAGATTTCCGCGGCATTATACTAAATTTAAAAAAAATTAAAGAATATTCAATACTGAACACTGCACAATAATAACACAATACCAAGTATTTATGGTTAGTGTGTAGGTAAAGTAAAATACGAAAACACTAAACCGGTACAAATTAAACTGTATAAATAAAAATAACAAACAAAACTCGAGACGGCGCGATTAACTTCAAGCCAAACCAAAATATGAGAATGAGGCAAACCTCGCTTTTGCCACTCAATAGAATACAGCCAGCAACGTGTGTTACCAAAAACTGAATATTTTACGATTAAATTAATTAAAGATTTTAACTTTTGTTTAAACACACGTGTAACGATATCGTGACGATGTATTGATTGTTGGCCTGGTAATAACAAACTTTTTATTTCTTCCCAATTTGGATTACACGTAAATGTAACAAACAAATCAGGTCGACCGTAATGACGTACATAAGTCATCGCATCTTGTATGTATTCCTGCATGCTCCGTGGACTGCCGATGTAGCTTGAAGGTAAAATACATGCAGTTCCGATGTCATTGGCGTTTAAATTTTCATCGATGTTTCCGGTGATAGCATCTCGTAAATGGATGTATTCTTCTGATCTTAATTTAGCCTGGTTGTATCTAATATACCGTATAATTAAACTGTATAAATAAAAATAACAAACAAAACTCGAGACGGCGCGATTAACTCGATAATGACTGACTCGGTCAGATTGTTGCGCTTTATATTAACTGATGAATACGTCGTACCGAACTTCGCATTTTATACCTTTGAACATTTCTCGAAAATTCTATAACTTTCTTTATTACAACAATTGCAATGAAAAAAATAATATTGAGATAAAAACTATCCTATATATTTATTACAATAATTGCAATGAAAAAAATAATATTGAGATAAAAACCATTCTATACATTATGGAGATAATTCTCGGAACAATTCATATCTACACGCCGCCGACGATAAAACACACACAATAGAAAAAAGGTCAGATTACAGGTAGCAATATAGATACTGTCGCGGTCGGTCACGGGAAAACCCGAAATACACCATGCAATTATACACATTTATTAAAAAGTTAATTAAAATATTTAAAATATTAAAAAATTTGAAAAAAACTATCCTATATTTTAAGTTGGACCAAATTACACACGGTGTAAAAAATTTCATCAAAATCGGTCCAGTAGCTTCGGAGATTATCGCGAACATACATCGTGACACGAAATTTTTATATATATAGATATATATACAGTGCTCGAATTGGGGGGGGTACGCAGGGGGACGAAGCTCCTCTACTATTTTTTTTTTTTTTTTGCGTACACCAACTATATTTTTCACCGGAACGGGGGAACGTTCATCCTAATTGATGTCCAAAATAATTTTTATGTGAATTTTAATTTACGTCAATTTGAAAACGAATTTTACGATTTATACTATCAAAACTATTTTTATAATTAAAGATTATATGGTGTTTATGATAAGGGACAACGCAGTCATTTCTGGAAAAATATAAATAGCAATATCTGTGAATTTTGTGTATTATACTTTATACATTGTACGGTTTGTTATTAATATTGGCGATCGGTGATATCGTCATTTCGGAAAAAAATAAATGCCCGCACAACGACCATAGACTAATCTTCTAAGGCCGTGGCCCGCACCATAAAGTAAAAATAAATAAAAACCAAAACCAAATATATGATTATATCATTCGATTCATGAAACTGCCTGATAGCCTGTATATATTAGCTACATTATTATATATGTTAATTTAATTATTACCGTTTCAATATTAATAGTGTTGAACACCTTGACTACCACGTAATAATTGAATCTACATTTTAATAGTACAGTGGAGCGTCGATTATCTGCACGTCAATTATCCGCACTACAAAAAAGTTGAGTACAAATTTGTTTTTAGTTTAATTTAATTTAGTTTTATCATTCGTTATATTATATCGTGTACTATAATGTTATATTATGTATATATATATATATATATAATTTTTCATATTATGTATGAATATTATATTTAGTATTATATCTAGTAAATTAGTTTTTAACTTTATATTACAATTTTCAATGGTTGTTTGATTATCCGCACCTCCTTCGGTCCCAATTAGTGCGGATAATCGACGCTCCACTGTATATGTATTTTAAATGTTATTTTCATGCTTTTCGCATTTATTTTATTAAAAGGTTCGGGTTCGGGTTACGGTTCCAATATTATATTCTTTTAAATTTATTCCGTAATATTTATTGATACATATTTAAAAATTACATATTTTATCGGTATTATGTCATTATTAGAGTGCGGATTTTTATGTAATAATAAAATCAAAATATGTAAATATTTATGTTCTTATTTTTGCTAAAATATGTATTAAAAAACGTAAAATATTTAACGAAAAAATCGGTATTCTATATTAATTTTTAATTATTAACTAATAATTATTCATTTAATCATCTTCATTGTTGTCTTCTTCGAAACAATTGGATACGACGTACATTTAAAGATTTTCAAATTTTAATGTACGGTGGTTAGATTTCAAAGTCAACTCGTAACAACTGAGGGTGCATTCAACGTCAACCGAGGTTAATGGGGCATATTTATACCACATATATCGGATGGCGTTATTTCAATATAATTTGACATATTTTCTATTTTATTAATTAGATTATCTCTAATAGTTTTAATTTTTTTGTAAACCAACGTATTACCCAGTTCGTAATTTAATCAATTTTTATTGTAACTCCGGATTCTCCTTGAACTTAATTTCATTGAATTTCTGCACTTTCCACTATCGCGATACTTTCAATTATTATTAGATTTAATTTTTTATTATTTTACCAAAAAAAAAATTGTGGAAATATATACTAAATTATTTTGCAAGTTATTATTTTACATAATATCAAAAGTAATAGCGATTGTAGTATCTGAATCAAGATTTGAAATATCTTCTTTCATTTAGTTCCAATATAATAACTGTAAATTAAATAAAAACTGTATTGAAATGTTATGAAAATATGAAATATTTACAAAATATGTAAATATTTTGATTAAATATTTAAAAATATGTATTTACATCGAAATATGTGAAAATATATAAAATAATAAAGGTCTCATATTATTCAAAGTGTTTTGAAACGTGTTTATTTTTAATCGTAATTGAGAGATTCACATTCAATAAAATTATGTAATTACATAAAAATCCACGTTCTAGTCATTATACTAAGCAATATAGCATAATATACGAGTATGAAAATAAATGTCTTAAAATTTCACTCTTCAACTAATTTATATATATATATAGCAATAAAGTATTAATCATATATTAGTATCTATTTTTCAATACCAGTTAGTATGAATCTATATTTGAATACTCTTATTTTAATAAAATCTTCTAAAATTATTTTTTCTATTTCAGTATAAAATATCTTAGTATCAATAATTAGTCGTTATTATGTATTGGCAATTATGTATAATTCGAAAATGGATAGACACGTCAGGAATTCAAGTTGTTTTAAACTTATGTTTAGAAATTAAATATAAGGATACTTTTAAGGTAAACTTTAAGCTGAATGATAATTGTTTATTTCATGAAATATTTACTGAGTAGTATTTTTCATCAAATCTACAATGAATGTAAGTCGCAATAGATTCAATTTCAAAATCACTTGAAATTTGTTTTTTTCAACCTAGTTTTATTTTAAATTTTAAATAAAAATAACTATTAAGTATTAACAATGATAATAATAATAATTGAAAATTGTGTTACAAAGAATTTAACTTTTTATTTTATAAATTTGATGATTGAATTCTATAAATTTTAATTAATAACTATGACTTAAACTAAACAATGAAATTTTCTCTTTTAGTAAAAAGTTTTAATGGAAAATAGGATTTAACCCTTTTCTACAATAATAACATATCATATATGGTGTGGTTATTCTAATATTAATGTCTTATAAAATATATTACAATAGAAATAGATCAAATAATACTTAAAATATTTAGAAAAAATATCTTAAGAGTTAATTATTTTATTATTTTACCCTACTAAATTTGTTTTTTCTTCAGTCATCAAAGTCAAGTGAATAGAAATTAAAGAAATTGATTCTTGATATTATACTTGAATATTTCTTTTAACAAAACAGAAAATTGAAACAGATTGCTCCAATATCTAATTACGTAACATACAAATATTTATTAATACATTAACTAACAAATAAATAAGCATTTAGACACACAACATTGAGTGGAAAATGTGTTAACAGGAATGTTCAAGTGTGAATTCCATCTTTAAAAAATATCTATTTCAATACAATTCAAACATTTTTATCTTTGACAAACAACAAGTTGTAAGTATTTGAACAGTTTAAATATGCATTATGTCACAGTAAAACTATACAATTTTGAAACATATGCAAAATAATTTTTTAAAAAAATATAAGTGAAAAAATAAAGTTGATAAGAAAAACCAATTTTTATTGGTCTTAAAAAACAGATCAAATAATATACACCGATAAAATTAATTTAACGTTTAATCTTAACAATAGTTATAACTCTGAACATTTCAGATAATTGGATAGTAATAACAGCGTAAAAAATAATTTATTTGTCGAGTGATTCAACTGAATGACCTAATGAATCTGAAAATAAAAGTAAAAATAATGATTCAAATTCTTTGTTTAATATAATATTTCTTACTTTGGCGATCCATATAATTGTATCTTTGAGGCAATGGTCTAAATACGGAAGATCTTTGTGATGGTGGTGGAGAACTTGGCGATAAGGATCGATTATGACGCCTAGATAAAGGAATTGGTGGACTTGGAGCTTGTCCTAAAGCTCCAAGTGGAGGTAAACGTTGGTTAGTTAAAATTGGAGGAGGAGGTTCGAAGTCGAGCAAAGAAAGTAGTGTAAAATCTGGAGAAACTGTAGGCAATGGTATGTCTAACAATTCGTCTTCAAAATCTTTGGATGAGTCTATGCTTTCTGCAAAAAATAAAAGATTGAATTCATCTATTATAATATGAAAAAACAAAAAAAAAAAAAAAACAGAATCTTTGATTCCTTTATCTACTTGGTAAATAAATAAAAAATTTATTTAACGATTTTATGATAACTCATTTTGTTAAAGATTATAATTAATTCTAAAAATTAAAAAGTAATTATAGTAACTTTAACATACTAGCACCATTTTCAAGTTTTTTATCAACCATAGTTAATTTATTTCTTAGTTGTGCAGTTTCAAGTTCCATTTCTTTAAGTTTTCTTTCAGCTTGTCGGAATGATATCTTTTATAATAAAAAAAAAAATATATATATTATATTATAAAAAGAGCAAATAATAAAAAAAGCAAAAAAATTACCCAATAATCACTGGCTTTTTTATCTGCAGCGGATAATTGAATTTTGAAACTTGCTTCTTGGTCTGTTATTTCTTTTTTCAATGATTGAATTTCTCCTCTAATAATATTAAATATTTATACACAAATGAACTTGAAAAAATTTAATTACTTATAAAATACTATTTATAAAACTAAAAATTATAATTATTAATAAGGTTAGGTTGTATATGTATTTATAATTAGAAAAATAAAATATACAGATTTAGATATATTAAATATATAAAATGTATTTCACCTCAAAAGTTTCATTTATAAAGTATTAAGATTGGAAATTAAATACAGTTGTTACAGTATTTAAAAAAAAAAAATTAAGAAATTAAGTAATATTATATTTTTAAACAAAACAAGTGTAATTAATTATTTCCTTTACTATAAATACTTATTTATGAATTTAAGGCAGTGGCGCAACCAGGGGGGTGGACTCCGGGTCTGGACCCCCCCTTGGTACGTATAATAGTATATTAATATCATATTCTAGATATATATATATATATTATAATTTTTTATTATTTGTATATTAGTTTATTTTGTCAAACCCCCCCCCCATGAAAAATTCCTGATTGCGCTACTGGTTTAAGGGTTAGATGAATTTGTGTAATTTTCTTTAGTGGTAAAAATAAATAATGAAGATATGTAAATTTAAATCTACATACCTATATACGAGGGTTATTCAGAAAGTGAGGAACATTTTGTAATAAAACAAAAATTAGGTATAGGAAAATTTTTTTATTATATACATCTGAAAGAGTGATTAAAATGCTACTTTTCTACATAGTCACCAAACAAATTAACGCACTTATCGTAGCGGTGGCCAAGCTTCGAAATTCCTTCGTCATAGAAATCCGCCGCCTGCGATCTCAGCCACTCAGTGACGCACGCCTGGAGCTAATCGTCGTCATCAAAACGCTGTGTCGCTAGCCAGTTTATCATCTTCGGGAACAAGTGAAAATCACTCGGTGCTAGGTCGTGACTGTAGGGTGGATGTGGGAAAATCTCCCAGATCTTCTTGACTCATTCAAATGGGAGGATTTCTATGACGAAGGAATTTCAAAGCTTGTCCACCGCTACGATAAGTGCCTTAGTTTGTTTGGTGACTATGTATAAAATTATTATTTTAGTCACTCTTTCAGATTATATAACAGGGTTAACGACCGATTTCTGCACAATCATTGATTCGCAAGATGCTTTCATTGACCAGATATTTTCCAATGTACACAGACAATACACAAATCATGAGTGGCTGGCAGAAAGAGCAATTTTAGTAGCAAAAAATGTAGACGTCAATGAATTGAATCTCAAGACACATTTGTTACCAGGAGATTTGGTGTCATACAAATCTATTGATACAGTTTGTGATGCTACTGAAACTGTAAATTATTCAACCTAACTTATTAGATTTACCTGGTAACCCACCACATAATTTACAACTGAAGGTTGGATCTCCGGTTATTTTGCTTCGTAATTTGAACCCACCACGGTTGTACAACGGCATGTGATTAGTCATTAAAAATTAATGAAATATGTTATCGAAGCCTTCATTTTAAATGGAAAATTCCAAGCTGAAAATATATTATTACCGCGAATCCCTATTATACCCACAGATGTGCCAATACAATTTAAACGCCTTCAATTTCCAATTAGATTGGCTTTTGCAATGACTATCAATAAGCTTAAAGGCCAAACGATGTCTATCTGTGGCTTAAATTAAAGTACATCATGTTTTTCACACGGACAATTATACGTGGCGTGCTCTCGAACTATTCAGTTTGTTTATATTGGCGAAAGATGGGATAACAAAAAATATTGTACACTGTTGTATTAAGCGATTGATATTGTTTTTTACTAATATTGTTATAATTAGCGATACAAATAATTTTAAAGGATCAATTTTAATAAATTATTAAAAAAATAAATGTTTGATGTTTTTTTCATTTTTATATTTCGTCACCGTTCACAGCACTCCATACCTCTTTCACTTACATACCAGATCCTTACACACTTATATTAAATAAGTTTTTTTTTTCTAGCAAAATATTCTCTAGAAATAATTTATATGACAAAACAACGTTTGTCGGGTCAGCTAGTTACTTTATAACAATTTAGAAAAATCGGTAAAATCTAATTCAAAATTTGATGATTCTAGCTAGAAATATTTTTGATCTAATAATATGCATTTGTAAATATATCTAAGCCCTAATTATTAGTTTTAGTGATAATAAAGTATTTTCAGTAACTGATTCTTAGTAATGCATTAATTTTTTACTCAGGGGTGGATAAAGAGGGGGCGAATGGGGCGATCCCCACATTCACCGTAGCAGACTTTAGTTTTTGACGTAATTATTTCAAGGGTAAATAGGGAAATCTTAAACTATTTTTTTTATACCAAATTTATGCTGATACTGTGTTATCACTTATATTTATTATTTGGTGATATACTGATATCAGTTATATACTACTATCATGATTAGGGCTCGGAAGTTGTAAGAGTTGCATATTTTTCTGTATGCCCTTAATTTATAGCAGACCAAGCTAGAAATCCATTTTATACAATGACAAGATTAAATAAAATAATTAAAAGTGCATATTTTTGCATATTTTGTCAATTTTATCAAGTCGATGATGTGTGCTAATATTCCTCTTAATAAAATTATGAATACTGAATTTCGGTCATTCCTAGAAAAATATACCCTTAAAGAAATTCCATGTGAATCTATTTTAAGAAAAACGTATTTAAATGAATGTTACGAAGAAACAATCGTTAAAATTAGAAAACATGTCGTTGGGAATAAAATTTGGGTATCTATCGATGAAAGTACTGACATCGAAGGTAGATTTATTGCGAACGTAATAGTCGGAACATTATTGGTAGATGAACCTGGTGACATATTTTTATTAACATCCGAAGTTCTTGATAAAGTTAATTTTTCAACAATAGCTAAGCTATTTGATGCATCAATGTTTATTTTATGGCCAGATGGAATCCGGCACGATGACGTACTTTTGTTTGTAAGTGATGCGGCTCCGTATATGAAAAAAGCAGGTACAGCTATAAAAGCATTATATTCAAAAATGATACATGTCACATGTTTGGCTCACGGAATGCATAGAATAGCAGAAGAAATACGTAGTCATTTCCCAAAGGTAGATAAATTAATATCGAGGGTAAAACAAGTGTTTTTGAAAGCACCGTCTCGTACTATATTATTTAAAACTGAAGCTCCTGGAATTCCACTTCCGCTGGAGCCCATACTAACACGTTGGGGAACATGGCTACAAGCAGCTTCATACTACTGTCAATATTTTAAAGGAATATACAAAGTTTTACAACTTCTAGATTCGAGCGATGCGATTTCTATTAGAGAAGCTAAAATAATTGTAAGTGACCGTTCTGTGGAAATGAACTTAACTTTCATTCATGCAAATTATGGTTTTTTACCGACAACAATTACACAACTTGAAAAACAAAAACTTCCGTTACATGAGTCAATAGCGATAGTGAAATCCGTCGAAAATAAGTTAAAGCACATTATTGACGAGGCAGGCACTGCAATCAAAGAAAAATTAAAAAATGTTTTGGAAAAAAACTGTGGTTATAATGAATTAAAAAAAATATCCAGCATTTTAACTGGTGAAGCAACGTCAATGGAAGGACTACCAGAAGACTTAACTGGGAATGACTTGGCGCACTTTAAATACGCACCCATAACTTCATCGGATGTTGAAAGAAGTTTTTCGCGCTACAAAAATGTACTTACAGACAACCGTCGTTCGTTTGACATAGAAAATATCAAAAAAGTTTTGGTTATTCAATGCAATACATTTACAGGTATGACGGTTACAATAATCTATATGTTTAATGAATTAAAAAAAAAATAATATAATTTTTCAAATAAATTGTATTCTATATATATTTTTAGATTGAAAAAATTACAATCCATCAAACACAAAATACAAGCCAAAACATTAAGCCAAACATAAAAATTTTTTTTGTATATACGTAGTAAATTTGTTTGCATATTTAATAAATTTTATTTTGCATATTTAACATATTTTCATGCATATTTTACAATTTTTTTGTGCATATTTTGCCTTTTTTAACTCCTATAACTTCCGAGCCCTAATCATGATGTTAAATATTCGTAACCAAGTTTTGTGTTCGTAGGTCATTTTTCGGACAACTGTCCCTAACTCGTGCCCTTTAACCCCCCCCCCCCCCGTTATCTTGATCTGAATCCACCCCTGTTAATACTGTTAGTGTGGTAATGGAAAAAGTACTGTGGTGTTTTGATACAGACTTTAATAACAATTTAATGAAAAAAAAATACGTTGATTTGCTATAGGTTATAAACAAATTACGATAAAATAAACTTAAATGTTCCGTAGTATTAAAAGTATTTTAACAATATATATATTGAGTATAAAATATATTCATCTGAAATACCAGTAATTCTAAGGCCGGGTTGCATAAAGATCAGTCTGTAAACTTGTTACTGACCCTGTAACTTATTCATTCTGTTAAGTTTTACTAATCGATAATATTATTGAGGTGTTTCATAAAGAAAAGTTAATTTTATTGATGGCTGTGGTTACCAAATAAATTAACCTGCATTTTATGTGATAAATAGTGATAACGAAAATAATACAAACTTATTGATACCAAATAAACGTATTCTACAAATTTAAAATTATAATATTATAATAAACATAATTATAATACATAAACCTATAATAAACCGTGAAAAAATAGGGGATTTGTTCTATCACGAAAAACTTGCGGTCTAGGTAAAAATTGAACGATTTTTATAACAAAATCATCTTTATCGCTGGACGAAGATGACGTAGAAGATTCCATTATTAATGTTTAAAATTATCATAGTTAAAAAAAAAAACAAAATTAATTATATAAATATTATGGATAAAATTTGTAATTGATAATATCGGTTATCATTAATATATCTGTAAGTTACAGAACCAAAATCGGGTCTGTAATTTACAGGTCCAACAATCAGTAACTTACAGAGCTGTTAACACTATTTGACCTTTATGAAACAATCAATTTTAATTACCGAACCTTGACGCGGACCCGTGCGGCAGCCGTTATCGAAACGGCAGTCGCCGACCGTGTCCTTATCTTTCTCATCAACCGCCACTCCGCGGCACGCAACGCCGCAGCGACCCCCGTCCACCCATCCATCACCGGACAGGGGACGCGAGCGGTCGCTACGACGTCCGACAGGTACCACCATATAACCGTGCTGTTTTTCCGAGATCGTGTACGGAGACACATCGCACATCTCTACCCATTGGTTTTTTTTTCATTGTGATATAACAATTGTGACTGCCGACGTTAGTACACTAATTAATATCTATTTTTTTTTGTTGTGTTACCGTGCAATATATGCTTATTATTATTACCATCATTTTTTTCATTGTCTTATTTTCTTATTACACAATATTATTTTAATATCAACCCGCACAACACCCGCGACCCGTGCGCACACCACCACCACCTGTGTGCCGTGTCAACCTTTAGTGCATTATCAGTCTGTAAACTCTCTGCGAATTGTTTATGAACGTTTATGCAACCTACCCTAAGAGGAATTGCCTATGTCCCAAATAATATAAGAATATAAATTAAATTAAATTATTAAAAGGAAATTCTACTTGAGAAACAAATCTTGGAAAAAGTGTTATGAATTTCAATTTATGTGACTGATTCACAGTAAAAACATATCTTAATGTTTATACGAATAGAAGAAGATTGAAAAAACTAGTCATAAATGTTATTTTTTTCAATATCTTCATTAAAGTGTTAATAGTAATAAATTTCTTTTTTAAAGTGAACATGTTTAAATAAACGTAATGAAAATATTTAATTATTTTTAGTATAAATGTTCAAGTTTTTTTTTAATAAAAGTACTATGTTTTTAAGATCATTAAGATTGACAACACAAGATTTAAGTTAATCTAAAAAGATTAACTATAAATTAATTAAATTAACTAAGTGTTACGCATGCATTAATATGTATTACATAGTAATGCAAAAATAAATATTACTCGTTACAATTGTAAAATTTTTAAGAAATTAATAAAAATATTTTATTTAAAATGAAGCTCTTGGTACCCTATGTGAATCTACATACACATGTCACTCTCAAAATATTACCTACGACTTACTTGTAATTCACAATTTCTTGGTTCTTGGATTTTATTTGTTCATTAAGAATGCTAGATTCTCCTTCTTTGCTAATATATAATTCTGCTTTCTCATTAATTTGTCTGTAACAAAGATATTTATATTATTTCTACATGAGATGAAACTTATTTAAATATTTAACAAAGCTAGAGCAAAAGAACATACATTTTTTTCAATAATATAAAATTAATATTCACTATTTCAAACAACTTTATCTCTAGTTGTACGGTGAATTTTTAAACATTTAGAGAGTACACAGTTTTACTGTTATTGAACATATTATGTTCAGCTTGTTCACAAGAGTAAAACTAAATACAACATTTAAAGATGAGTAATGGATGAGTCCAACATTGAAACAAAAACAATTACAAAGAATTGAAAACATAGATATTCGAAAAATGAAATATTTTAAAAATCTATGGAAGTTATCAAATTAATTTAGTATAAAATAAAAAATAATTTTAAGTCACCTCTAATTATTGAGAATTTAAGAGAGAAAAAGGAATGTGTCAGTAACATAAGAGTGTGCACTATTGGCTAAATAAAATGCTAAGATTTCTTTCCTCTGATGGAAAATTTTAAAATGTCTATTGAATTTGTAGAATTTGTAAATATAAGTTTTACTTTTTGTGGGAAAATAAAATAAAATACATACTTAAGATAGTGTTTTTCTTGTTCTTTAAAAAAATTTGTAAGTATAGTCAATTTGTTTATTGACTCTTCATTCTTTCTTTCTAATTTTTCAAGTTTATCTTCTAAATTTGCTATATTACTTTTTAAAACATCAATTTTATCTGTAAATAATAGTAACAATCATAATACTTCATAAATATTATTAATTTACCTTTTATTTTTTTACTTTAGTTTGTTAATAAAAAGTAAAATGAATCATTAAAATATTACTAACCCAGATATTGTTGATTTAATTTCAAAGACTCATTCAATTTATGTTTGTAACCTTCACACATTTGTTGTGCAGATTTAAGTTCCACAGATAATTTAACTGAAGATAAAAATTTGTTTGCATCTGTTGAATTAAATTTCTGTGACACCATTTCTTGCAAAGCATTTTTAGACAGTAAAACTTCATTTTCTGCAGCTACCAAGGAACTAGTTTGTCTGTCCAATTCATATTGTAAATTATTTATTTCATCTTGTAATTTTGATTCCTTCAGCATGTTTTTAGTTATATTCTATAAAATAAAAATTAAATAATTTAAGAAAGCATAAAACAAATTTAATATTTAAAATAAAGATTTATTAAAAAAAAAATATTCTATCCAAGGAATTTTATCTTATATATTTTGTTACAATTATGCAGAAACTTTTAAATGTTATTTAAGACAATAATGTAATGTTAACTAGAGTAAAGCACTGCAATAATCTAATGGAAATAATATTTAATTTTAGCATAGTTTAATAGAAGATCATATTAAACACAGTAAAACTTGAATTTTATCCTATAACTGACAGGCAAAATAACTTTAAACACTTTAATTTCTATAAAATTACAAAATAGCCACTCTTTGGTACAAGTTGTTATCAACATTTCAAACTATTAAAAATCAAATAATTTGTTTGATATGGAGTTAGAGTGCTACCATTTTAAAAGTGGAATAATGTATCTGTATTTTCTAAAATCAATGATCAAACGCAAATCCTCTTGTTTTTTAGTAGACAAGCAGAAAATTAACATTTTACTGGTATCAAATAAAACAACAAACATTAATTTTCTTTTTGTGATGTAACAAAATACATTATATAATATTTTATAAAATTAAGAAGTTACTTTACTTACTTGTTCTAGTTGTAAAGATATTTTAGCATTCTCTTCAACTAAATCCATATTTTTGATAGTTAGTTCATCTACATTGTTTTGAATGGATTTTAAGATATTATTTTTTTTTTCTAATTCTGTAGTTTTGTCAAAATTCTATATTTTTTTGAAAAAAAAAAAAAAAAAAAAAAAAAAAAGAAAAGAACTATAAATAATAAATACAAAAGTACATAATATTTAGATATTAGAAATTTGAATAAATTTTTTTTTACTTTTTGTGTAAGGGTGATAATTAAATTTTCTGAATCAAACAATTTTGATTTTAAAGAATTTAATTTTTCTGTATTTTTGGAACTATTTTCTAAAGCAGAAGACAGTAATGTATGCATTTCCATTCCACTTTCAGTTAATTCTTCAACTTCTTGCTCTAGTTTTTCAATGCGTATAGATTGTGATAATATAATGTCCTAAAAATAAATTTTTTATTTAAAATTAATTAATTTAAATAGTTTGTATACTTTCAAATAATAATTTATTTATACAACTAAAATAATCACCTCAGACTTAGTCAAATGATTATTTAATGTCTCTACTTCAGAATTTTTTTCAGTTTTCTGAAATCAATATTGCTGATTAAATTTAATTAATAGATTAATTTAGTTTTAAGTATTAACTTACTGATTTCATACTTCCAGTGCTTTGTTCTTTCAGCAATGATAATTCCTTTTCAATAATAAGCAAATTTTGATCTTGAGTTGCAAGCAATGTTAATAAATAATTTTCATAAGTTCCTTTCTAGAAATAATTAAAAATAATTAGTATTTATGACATACTATAATAGTATAGGTACACGTTAATAAGTAAAAACTATAATAAATAAATTTAAACAAATAAGTTTTATATTTTTATTTATGAATATTAATTTGACTAAATATTATTCTTAAATTATGAAGATGCATAAAAGGTCTACAAATTTAAAGTGGAAGAGTAATTTAAAATTACCTGTCCATTTTAAATAAGTGTACTTTTATACATGTGTTGTAAACATATATAATTGGACTTAAGTAGTAATATTGTAGTAGTTATATTTAGTTTGAAGTATTTACTTGATATTTATAATAAACCAATGAAAATAACAGTGTGATTACAGCTACAGTAATAAAATATAATTCTGAATGATTGACATTTTGAAACATTTTCTGAAATAATATTTTAAATTTAGATAAAACCACAATAAACAAAAAATTATAATTAACTTACTTGATCTTCAACAGATTGAACGTGATATACATCTGTAATAATACAAAATTATATAAACTTATATATTTCAATATAAGACTTATGATATATATTAAGTATTAAATCATCTTATTTTATGTTTTAATGATACACTGTACTAGGCCAAATAATAAAAATATATTAATAAACATTAAAAGAAAAATTTAGTTATACTATAATTGGAATTAAAATTATTAAATTCATATTTAACTAAGAATTAAAATAAAATAAATAAAATATGTAAGATCTTTAGTGGATTATTATAGAGATGTTAAATTTTATATTATAAGCTCATAATACACAAACATGGAGTTTCCCATAAATTAACACTTTAAAAAATTTTCAAAGTTAGTTCGAAAATATTTTACATATTTAATATAACAATAAATGGCAAATTTGTATGGATTTTTATTATTAATTTATTATAATTTAAAAAATAAAATTCTTCAGAAATTTCATAATAATGGGAGCAAGTAAAATAAATAAACATAACTACTCCTTTTTGACATCATTTTTTAAAACAAGATAGTTTAAGATTATAAGGGATAAGAATACAATTACACAAAAAATGAGGATTTCAGCAATTTACTTAATTTTATATACATTTTATAAGGTTTTTATTATTTTTTTTGCATGTAAAGAAAAAACTAACTTTGAAAAATACAGTAAAAAAAAAAAATTAATTCTTAATTATAAATAAACATATATAGAATGTTGGTACATTTATAAAAATGAGTAATTGTTTTGTGAATAGAAGTTTTAGGTTTCAGTATATTGAACAAACTAGCCAACAGCTATATACATGAAAATATAAATAATATTATATATATAATATTGTATATTTCTATTTCACCTCAAAGTGTAATTTCATTTCTTTGAAAAGTGCTAGGGATACAAGCGTATCTGGTAGACATTGCCAGTTCCCTATACCTTTTTTTTTAAAAAATGTAAAAATGAATTATTAATAAAAGAAGAACAATTTAATGTAATTTATGAAGAAAAAAAAATATTAAGAAATGTAATATTGATAAATTAACACGTGCTGCGGCAGAATCAGTTCTAACATTTTAACCCTTAACTACACGTGCTGATGTACTAAGTATTTTATCTTGTTCTATTTTGGTTTATATTTGTTTTCAGTTATTCTCCTTATCTAATATGTAATAGTTATTAATCCATTTCAATTTTTATTCGACAATGTTTGTAGCTGCATAAACAACCTCCGTATTAAATTATTTTTGTATCGGTTAACGAAATACTCTGCGCGTGTAATAATGTAAGTAATTTTTACGTCTTATATCGGTTGATGATGCTATTTATTCTTCTAATATTTAATTATTATATAATAATTATATTATGATATATATATTATGATTTCTGTGTAAACCAAGTTGTTGTATAAAATACACTGCATGTGTAATAATTTAAAAACAAAATTGCGCGTGTAGTTAAGGGTTAATATTAATTTAAAATACACCAACTAAACAATATATGTCTACAATATAAATATTCAGATTTTATTCAAATAATACGACCTAAATCATTAAAACGATTATTAACTTTTTAATAAAATATTACTTATTATAAATTTATTTAATAAATAAATCATAGTAAAATTATTACTCACCATTGTGTGTATTAGAATAATCACCAAAAATACTCCATAGAAAATTAATCGAATTAGTAGTAGGTGAAGATATCCAATTTTGAAAATAATCAAAGAAGCTTAATTCTACATGAGATTCCTCAATTACTTCATTAATTATATTTGTTTTTTCTACATCAAAATCAATATTTGCTGATTGTGAAGTTTCATCTGAGTTTGCTTGTTTTTGAGTAGGATTTATTGGTGGAGGTTTAATTATTTTTTCTAAATTTCTATTAAATTTAAGACATTTAACACCACTACAAGAATCTGGATGACCAAAAGATTCCACAAAACTTTTAGGTTCATATTTTTTTAATTGTTCGTTATCATTTGGCTTTATATTCTCATAGACATTATCAGACGAAATTTTATTTTCTAGTTTACTTTTTTCAATATCATACTTTTGGTTACTTTCTATAGAATGTGAACATCCACCTTCTGATGCACATTGATCAATTTCTTTTTTGTTAGCAATAACTGGATGAATTTCAATTGTGTTCATTATATCTTGTGTTGGAGATGAAGATGTCTTACCACTAATTTGATCATTATTGGATGTGATAGGTTTAATACTAGGATCTTTAGAAATATTTTGAGATTCAGAATCAATTTCAGTTTTGGTAATATCTGGTTGATTTTGAATTTCATTAATTACTGATATGTTATTATAATCTTGCAAATTATCACCATTAAAATCCTTGGATATATTATTTTCATTCATTATTTCTATTTTTTCTTCTGTAAATAACAATTGATTGGAATTATCATTGACTGATTGATTATCTGTTTGAGTTATATTTTCTAAATAACCACCAATTTGTAGTGTTTCACTAATTACTGATATGTTATTATAATCTTGCAAATTATCACCATTAAAATCCTTGGATATATTATTTTCATTCATTATTTCTATTTTTTCTTCTGTAAATAACA